TGGTACCCACACATTCCGCTCCCTCCCCTCTTGCCCTCCACCCCGGGATGGTATCTTCCTTGTCTGACTTGTCTCTGCACCCTGGTGCCTGGGGCCCTGCTAGCCAGGCTCAGCTGGTCACTGCCCTGAACAGCCAAAGGCCAGTCTCTCCCCGACTCCACCTCCTGTCCTGCAATTCCATGAAATCCGCTCACGGAATGGAGTCCCTGTGCTTGGGGCCCGCGTGGCTCACTCACCTGCTCTCAGGCGCCTGTACAAAAGGCTGTGCCAGTGTCCGGCCCTGCCGGCAGCCCTCCCTTCCAGGAGTCCACGGTGTAAGATTGATTCGTGCATTGTTCCTGTGACCGCCTCCTGCGGCTGCTCAAGCCCACCCACTGTCTCCACGGCAGCCCCCCTGGGGCTGTCCAACTCACCTGGTTCTCACAGCTGGATAATTCACTCTTTCTATAAAAAGCCATCTCACTCTCACCTCGGGGCCCACTCTCTGAAGGAAAGGAGAGCTGACCCCAGCTGGCTGGTCTGTGCACCTGCTCTCCTCAAAAAGCTTTGCTGCTGGGCCTGGTGCAGTAGCCTAGTGGCTAAAGTCCTCATCTTGCAGGCGCTGGGATCACCTAGGGGTGCCGGTTCTAATCCCGGCCACTCCAATTCCAATCCAGCTCCCTGCCTGTGGCCTGGGAAAGCAGTGGAGGACGGCCCAAAGCCTTGGGACCCTGCACCTGCGTGGGAGACCCAGAGGAGGCTCCTGGCTCCTGGCTTTGGATTGGCTCAGCTCCAGTCGTTGCGGTCACTTGGGGAGTGAATCATCGCATGGAAGATCTTCCTCTTGTCTCTCCTCCTCTCTGTATATCTGACTTTCCAATGAAAACAAATAACTCTTTTTACAACGAGAAAAAAATCTATGCTTTGCTGCTTCGCGGGCTTGTCTGGGCTGCACTTTTTGGGGAGAGGCTCGAGCTGGATGCGCCAACTCCTGGCCCGCGCCCTGCCTGCCCCGGTACACTCGCTCATGCCGCTGTCCCGGGACTCGGCTTTCGTGCCAAGTCCGCTTCGTTCTTCGAGGCTCAGGCAGGATGCTCCCCGCCCTCGGTGCCAGCCGCTGCCTCCTTCTCAGACTGACATTTTTTTAATTTTGGTGCCTGAAGGATTTCTGGCTTTTTAGAAAAATGTTGTGTTTTGAAGTCATTTTAGGCTTCCAGAAAAGTTGCAGAAATAGCAGCGGGCCTGGTACACACATCACCCACCTCCCGTGACGTGAACCCCTTACGTAACCTTACAGGGTGAGGCGCCGTGGCTAAAGCTGTGTGACATGGCTGTGCCCGGCCTGATGCGTCGCTCGTTTGTAAAACAGAGTTGTCATTTATTAGGGACAGATCTATCTATTGATTTGAAAGGCAAAGAAAGGGCCTGGCGCGGTGGCACAGTGGTTAAGATCCTCGCCTTGCACGCCCGGGATCCCATAGGGGCACCGGTTCTAATCCCGGCAGCTCCACTTCCCATCCAGCTCCCTGCCTGTGGCCTGGGAGAGCAGTGGAGGACGGCCCAAAGCCTTGGGACCCTGCCCCCGCGTGGGAGACCCGGAAGAGGCTCCTGGCTTTGGATCGGCATAGCGTCGGCCGTTGTGCTCACTTGGGGAGTGAATCATCGGACGGAAGATCTTCCTCTCTGTCTCTCCTCTCTGTATCTGCCTTTCCAATAAAAAAAAAATAAATATTAAAAAAAAAATAAAAAGGCAAAGAAAGAGAAATCATCCCTCTACCAGTTCACCCCCAACAAACGCCCAGAACGGGTCGCAGTGGCGGCCAGGAGCCTCGTCCGGTGACCCCAGGTGCCTGGGCGCTGTCCTGGGGTGCTGTCCGCAGATTCTGTCCCTGGGGGTGGGGGTCTCTTGGCATCCCCTTTGGCAGCGAGTGTGGGGAACGTGTGGTGGGCGGCAGAGGACTGGGGCACTCCTATGCTTCTCATTCTTCGGGGACCCACGGGGCTTGGCAGTTGCTTCAGGGATGGGAGCCCAAATCGGGGGGTCCCCTGATGAGCCTCTGGGGTGTCCTGTCTGTCATGTGTCATGAGAGAAAAAAAAAGCATCGGTGATCCAGGGAGCAGTGTGGGTGGGGAGGGAGATGAGGGCGGTGGGGTGGCGGGAGGCACCTGCTGGACTCCTCCTCCCTTGTCTGTCCAGGGCAGGGACCCCCTTAACAAGATGTGGGGGCACAACAAGGCATTGCAAACAGACACAGGTGGGGAGGACCTTCAGAACTCCATGGCCACCCTTTCCTGACCTGGAGCCACCCTCCCCGCCGTGGCCTTGCATGGCCCTGCCTCGGCCCCTGCCCTGGGAGCCTCGCACACCTGTGCACCCAGCTCAGAGGGCTCCTCCAGGCGGGGGCCAGTCCTGGGACCAGTCCCCTTCCCGCTGCTGCCCTCGGTGGCTCCCTGTTGTCCCCCCACACCCCTGCCGTGGCCCGCGGGAGCTCCCACTGTGGGTCATCTTCGCCTTCCGCTCCTCCTTCACTCTCCCCTCACCGAGCTGCCTCCCGACCCGAGGCCTGCGCTCAAGCTGCCTCCCCTCCCCACCTCCACCCGCCACCCCACCCCAAGTGGCCACAACAGCTGGAGCGAGCCTGCCCAAAGGCAGTAGCCTAGGGCTTCACCCTGGGTTTCCCCCGTGGGTGCAGGGGGCACAAGCGTTTGGATTATCTGTGCTGCTTTCCCAGGCGTGTTAGCAGAGAGCCGGAGGGGGAGTGGAAGAGGCTCCTGGCTCCTGATGGGCTCAGCTGCAGCTATTATGGCCAACTTGGCGAGTGAACCAGCGGATGGAAGATCTTTCTGTCTCTCCTTCTCTCCGTAAATCGGACTTTCCAATTAAAAAAAAAATTCATGTGAAAGGCAGAGAGCGAAAAGAGCTCTTTCACCACCGGTTCACTGACAGACGCCCCCAACAGCCAAAGCCAGAAGCCAGGAGTTCCAGCGGGGTCTCCCACATGGGGGGCAGCGGCCCAGGCATTGGCCTCCCAGGGTGCACAGCAGAGACCTGGAGGGGAAGCAGAGCCCGATCTGATTCCGGGCGCCCCCTTGTGGGATGTGCGTGTCCTATGGCACATGGCTGACTATGCCTGGTGGTCACCTGGCAGACTCCTGCATGACCTGGGGAGGTGCCAGCAGCAGGCATGGGAAAATGGGGAGCTGGGGCGGGTGGAGGGGCTGCTTTCTGCCCGCCTCCTCTGTGACAGATGGTGCCATCACAGGCCCCCGCTCAGAGGCTTCTGGGTGGGCCTCCTGCTGGCCCATCCTCATTGGATGGACAGAGATGGCAAGAGGGGTGGCTCTTGATCACCCAGGAAGTGAGGGGTGTGGGCGGGTCTCATCGGGGGTCACGCTGCTCTGGGGTTATAGGGCAGGGTCTTGGGCCTACGAGGCCGAGATCCTCCATGCGTGCGCTCCGTGGACAGGGAGGGACAGAGACACGGACATGCCCTCTGACGCACGGCAGAGGGGCAGAGGGGAGAGATGGGGTCTGGGAGGCAGAGGGAAGCAGGCTGGGTCCCAGGGACACAGGGGGACAGGCTGCAGTTTACAGGGTCCACCCTGACCTGGAGCTGGAAGTCGTCACCACCCCCCCCCCCCCGCACCCTCCCTTGCCGCCGCCATCCCGGGATAGTGAACTTGACCCCATGTCCGAGCCAGGATCACATCTGGGTCTGCAGCTGCTCCGGGCTGAGCTGCTTTCTCTCACCGCACCCACCCGTCCCCGCTACGGTGCCCTGTATGTCCCCCAAGAAGGACATAAGCCGACCCTCCCCGTGTGTTTTCTCTAAGGCTGTGGGGTACATGCAGGAGTGGGGAGCCCCCAGAGGCAACAGACCTCGCTCCCAGTGGTGCCGTCTGAACGCCTGGAGCCAGCTGTGCCCACACGCCCGTCCCCGGAGCTGACAGCCCGGTCTCTCCTCCACATGGGCCCTGCGCCGTGGGCTGCCCCGCCCCCGTTTCCCAACAGGTACAGTGGGTGGGACCAGGGCAGTGGAAGATGAATCCAGAATGGAACACTTGTGCCCGGCCTGGGGCAGGCCTGTGGCAGAGCAACTGGTGGGGAGTCCAGGATAGTGCAGGGCACCCAGCTGTGCGCTGTGCCTCTGGGCTGTGCCCCACCTTTCCCCCACCAGCTGCAGCCACCTGGAATTCCGTGCCCCCTCACGTGGCACCACCTCAGGCTGTCCCCCCACATGGGCCATCTGCCGAGTCCAGGGACGAGTGTCTTTTCCCATCAGTGTTGGGGGTAAGGTGGGTGACAGGCTGGGGTGCCAGCCTCAGGGGCGAATAGAGTTGATCAAGGAGCAGGGGACGGGGCCTTTGGGGCTGGGGGTGAGAACTGGACAGTGGCGGGCAAGCAGGAGTGGACCAGGAATGAGGAGGACGATGCCCCCGGTGGCCCTAAGCCTGGCCTGTGGATATCCCAGAGCAGGCGCAGCAGCCCCACGGCAGGTGGGGATGCAGGGCCGGGCAAGTTGGCCAGGGAGAAAGGGTTATGGTGCCGCACCTGCCATGGGGTATCCTGGAGACCCTGGGAGGAGTGCTGGGCAGAGGTTCCATGCTGGGGGAGGGAGAACTCCCCCTGTGCCTACTGGGTCCTGAGGGTGCCCCCCCAGATGTGCCAGGGCCCTGCCCCCTGGGGAGAAATCCAGAAGAGAGCGATGTCACAGTGGCTCGCAGAACCCTGGGGTGTGAGCCTTCAGTGTCATCGGCACAAAGTCCACCTGGGCCAGCAGCTGCTGTTGCCAGGGTTCAAAGGCCCCATGCTGGCCAGGCTGGCCCAGGGCATCGCCACTGCCTAGAGCCACGGGCTCCCCCTGCGCAGCCCTGCAGCAGCCCGCAGCCCCGGGGCCGGCCCGCCTCCACCCGCTGGCTGCCGCCGCCTGAGGCCCAAGGAGGCCCGGGAGATGCCTGAAGGCCTCCGGGCCGCCGTCCCCAGCGGGACCTGAGCGCGCAGAGCCGGAGCCGGGCTGAGCATGAAGCGCAGGTGGCCTAGCCCTGCCGTGGCGGGGCTGGCGGCCGTCTCGGCGCTGCTGTGCGCGCTGCTGGCGCCGGCGCGGGCCGTGGTGCGGGCGGTGCTGGACGCCAACGGCAGCAGCGTGGACTTCGCCCATCTGCCGGCGCTCTTCGGCGCGCCCCTGGCCCCCGAGGGCTTGCGGGGCTACCTAACGGAGGCCAAGCCGGCCAACGCGTGCCAGCCCATCGAGGGGCCGCCGCTGACCAACAGCTCCCTGGGCGCCATCGTCCTCATCCGCCGCTATGATTGTACGTTCGACCTCAAGGTGCTGCACGCCCAGCGGGCCGGCTACGAGGCAGCCATCGTGCACAACGTGCAGTCGGACGAACTGGTGCGCATGGGCCACGTGTACGAGCAAGTGCGCCGCCAGATCGCCATCCCGTCCGTGTTCGTGGGCGAGGCCGCCTCGCAGGACCTGCGCACGCTCCTGCGCTGTGACAAATCGGCCCACGTGGTGCTGCTCCCGGACTACCCGGCCTGCCCGGACCTGGACTGCCACCCGGTGCTAGCCGCGTCTTGGCTGCTGGGCCGAGCGCTGGCGCTGGGCCTGGGCGCCTGCCTCGTGCTGCGCCGCCTGAGCTTTTGGTTCTGGAGTTGGTGGAGCCCGGAGCCCTCCGGCCGGCCACGGCGCTTCCGCCGGGCACAGGTGCGCACCTTCACGCGGCGGAACGACCTGTGCGCCATCTGCCTCGATGACTATCAGGAGGGCGACCAGCTCAAGATCTTGGCCTGCTCGCACGCCTACCACTGCAAATGCATCGACCCCTGGTTCGCGCGCACCGCCCGCCGCTCGTGCCCTGTGTGCAAACAGTCCGTGGCCAGCACCGAGGACGGCTCCGATTCCACCGTGGACAGTTTCGGCGACGACGACCCGTCGTCCCTGCCCGGCCACCAGCCACCGATCTGGGCCATCCAGGCGCGCCTCCGCTCCCGGAGGCTGGAGCTGCTGGCCCGGGCCGGTCCGCGGACACGCTGCAGTGTGGGGTCCTTGGGTGTGGCGGAGACAGTGGTCTCCTCGGGCACCGGCACGTCCCAGGGACCCTCCTGAGGGAGACCCCTCCCCGTGCCCCGCGGCTGACCATCTCGGGCGGCGTGGGTGGGAATCCGGAGAATACAGTGGTGTGAATGCGGCTGCCAGCCCTGCGTGTTGGGGGGGCAGCCTGGCCCCCTCAGCTTCCGAGGCCAAGGCAGGGGCATGGAGGGGTGAACGGGGCCGGGGTCTGCGCCCATCCTGGGTTCCGGGCTGCTGGGGGAAAGAGGGGTGAATCCACCGCTGTCTAGAATAGTTGGGGTGTCCTCCCCAGGTTGGGTCACCGGGTGGGCTTGGGACCACGTCGCCGTCTCCCATGGTTCCACTGTAAACCTTCCCACATCGATGGCATACAGTATCTTGTTTTCTTTCTTTCTTTTAAAAAAAAAAATTGTTTTTGTTGGAAAGGCAGATCAGATTTATGGAGAGAGAAAGAGAGGAAGAAAGGGTTTTTTTTTTTTTTTTTTTTTTCAGACAAGAACCTTTATTTGCAAAGGAACCAGACGAGTGGGGGGATGAAGAGGGAAGGCGGAAGCCGGAGAAAGCCGGGAGGTGGGGTCCCTCTCGAAAAGGGAAGAAGAGACCCCGAGAACGATCTTGAGCGGCTCACCCCAAAAAGAGGTGCCCAGCCCCTCCTGGAGGATCTGGGAGGCTTCCCAAGAGGTGGTGGTGTTGTTGTTGTGTGTATAAAATGCTTCTTGTCAGGCTGCCTTGCCACCCGAGGGGAAGGAGACAGTCAACGCGACCATGGCGAGTTGAAGAAAGCTGCGAGGGTATTACTGGAGCGGTCTTGATTGCTCTGACAAGTCGTGGGCTCCAGGACGCCAGGGAGGAGGGAGTCTTCCAAGGCCCAGTGGCTGTCCTTGTCCACGCCCTGTGTGTCCGCTGACCTGGGCGCGTGCTGCAGAGCCCAGCCTGGAGTGTTGTTCAACCTGTCCCGCTTTCCGTCTGCTGACGGGGTGCTCGGAGGCTTCTGCTGTCTTAGGGAGATGGCTGTCCCGTCTTTCGTGCGTGTCTGGGTATGCGCTCCACTTTTCTTTTTTCTTTCTTTCTTTCAATATTTATTGTACAGAGAGGAGGAGAGACAGGAAGGTTTTTTGTTGTTGTTGTTGTTGTTAAGGTTTTAAAATTTTTACTGGGGGCCTGGCGGCATGGCCTAGTGGCTAAGGGCCTCACCTTGAATGCACCAGGATCCCATATGGTCACCGGTTCTAATCCCAGCAGCTCTACTTTCCTCTCTATCTCGCCTCCTCTCTGTATATCTGACTTTGTAATTAAAATAAAATAAATCTTTAAAAAAATTTTTTATTGGAAAGGCAGATGTACAGAGAGGAGGAGAGACAGACAGGAAGATCTTCCTTCCAATGATTCACTCCTCAAGCGGCCACAATGACTGCAGCTCAGCCGATCCAAAGCCAGGAGCCAGGGGCTTCCTCTGGGTCTCCCACACGGGTGCCAGGCCCCCAGACTTTGGGCCGTCCTCCACTGCTTTCCCAGGCCACAGGCAGGAAGTAGAGCAGCCAGGACTTGAGCCGGCATCCGTATGGGATCCTGGCACAGGCGAGGACCCTAACCACGAGGCTGTTGTGCAGGGTCCCACTCTCCACTGTTGTGCAAGCCACTTTGGGGAGCCCGGTTCTGGGGTCAGACTCCATCATGTTTATGTGATATTTTTCCCCTGAGATTGGGGATGGAGCACAGTAGTCTGGTTGGGGAGCCCCCTAAGAAACCTCACCCAGAAGGGCCTCAGTCCTGGCGCTCCTGTGTACCGGCTGGTGTGGGGTCAAGCTTAGCTGCTCCACTCAGACCACACATACCCATGGATGCAGCTGCCTGGCCAGTCCTGTCCGCAGCCCACATTCTCATGCTAATCAGTGGATGCTGTGGCCTGCCAGCTCAGCCCAGCCCACACCCAAGCTTGACTCGCACACTGGCAGGTGCTATGGTCTGGTTGGGGTGACCCTGTCCCCAGCCCCTGTTCTCACATTACAGCTGGTGCTGTGTTGCCTAGCACAGCCCAGTCTGTCCCCAGCCCTGGCTTTTATAGGTGCCAGTGGGTGCTGTGGCATACTTGGGGCAACCGCAAAGAACCCATAACCATACCTGTACCCAAACATGGCTCTCATGAGTGGCAGTGGGGGCTGTGACCTAGCCTGGCCAGACCTGCCCCCAGCCCCAGTTTGTTCTTTTTTTTAAAAAAAAAGTTATTTGTTGGAAAGTCAGATATACAGATAGGAGCAGAGACAGAGAGGAAGATCTTCTGTCCGATGATTCACTCCCCAAGTGAGTGCAACGGCCAGTGCTATGCTGATCCGAAGCCAGGAGCCAGGAGCTTCTTCCAGGTCTCCCACGCGGGTGCAGGGTCCTAAAGCTCTGGGCCGTCCTCCACTGCTTTCCCAGGCCACAGGCAGGGAGCTGGATGGGAAGCGGGGCTGCCAGGACATGAACCGGCGCCCATATGGGATCCCGGTGTGTGCAAGGCAGGGACTTTAGCCACTAGCCTGGCCCGACTTGTCCCCAGCTCCCATTCTTGAGCATGCCATTGAATGAATGAGTTGGACAGGGAGGCCCAGAGAAGAGGGCTCAAGGGGGCTTCCTGGAGGAAGGGGCATTGCCAGGAGCCTGCTGGACAGGTGAGAGGTGGCAGAGCTGAGCTGGAGCTGAGGGTGAGGCTGTCTGCCTGTGCTAAGGGCACAGGTTTGTGGCAGGTTGGCAGGCTGGGAGCTGGTAGGGCAGGTCTCAGGGTAGACCCACGAGGGCTGGGGGTCCTGAGTTACCCCAACTGTGGTCATTATCACCTCTCCCGTGATTCCTTTCCCGGATGACTCTGAGACCGGCCACGATCTGTCTTCACAGGGTCTTCTGTCCCTGGACCCCGCCGCCCCCCCCCCCCCGGGTGTATAAGCCTGGCCCCTGCTTCCATCCTTACACACCTGTGAGACAAGGATGTGCGTGCCACCTTCCAGGTGCAGAACAGGGAGGCTGAGCCACTTGCCTGCAGCCACACAGCTCGCAGGGGCTGAGCCAGGTCCTCTGGTCCTCCGTCCGCCTGCCTCTTGGCCTGTGTGGAGCAAGCCAGGTGCTATGCTGGGGACACTTGCTGTGTTCCCGGGAGACTTCCTCCACAAGGGACTCTGCCGCTCAGTAAATCGTGGTCGTTATGGAAACATAAGGGGTCGGCACTGGGCATGGGAAACCTGCATCCCAGTCCTGGTTTCAGCTACTTGCCAACGCACACGCTGGGCGGCCACAGCAGATTCCCGAGTTCCTGCCCAATCAGCAAGGAGACCCCGGATGGAGCTGCCGCTTCCAGGGCTCCTAGAATGAGAAAAGCAGGGCTGGGCTGGGCTGCGGGGACCTCAAGCAGCCTGTGAACTGTGTTGTCACACACCTGCCCCCTGCAAACCTCCAGGAACAACCTCACCAGGTGACCGCCACTCCAGGACCAGACGGCTGAGCATGCGCAACAGCCCCCATTGTACCACCTGCCACGCCATCCCAGTGGCTGCCGGGGTGGCCATGGTCGGTGAGTGTGGGGCAGACACCATGCACCTTGTGCCAGGCCGCATCCAGGCAGCTGAAGTCTCCGTGCGGACCGTGTTGGGGAGCAGGCGTGAAGGCGGTGGTTTCCCCCGCGCCCACCCCTTTGCAAACCCCGCAGCCAGGCCCAGGCGGGGCGGGCGTGGGGGAACAGATGGCTGCCTTCCTCGCCCAGCGCCCTGCCGGTTAATTAACGCCGCCTGTAATTAAACTTCCCACAAATTAGCTGTCAGCGCCGCTGAAGGGAGCCGGCTCCAATGCCACCTTGACTCGCCGCCGCGTTGTCCTGAACCGCGCCTCGGCAACAAAATAATTAAAGGCGGGGGAGGCGCCTGAGCCGGGACACGCGTTCCCCACACTCCCCACTCCCACCCTGAACCCTGATGTCTCAATCCCGGCGAACACACAGCTTGGCTAGCCTTGCGCCCACATTGGGCGCCGACTGCCTGCTGGTGCTGAGCTGGGGACGTCCAGGGGGCCCCGCCCAGCACTGACCCCTCAATACCAGAGTGTCACCCGTAGGACGGGTGCTGGCTGTTCAAACGCCATTGCGATAGCCTGCATCCTGCTTTGGAATTTCCGGGTTCAAGTCCCGGTTCCAGCTCCCTGCTCCTGTGCACCCCTGGTTGAGGTGGCAGAAATGGTCCCTTCCCACACAGGAGACACTGGGATGGAGTCTGTGGCTCACGGCTACCGGTTAGGGTTGTGGAGATCTGTCTGGTGTACAACTAAGGCGAAAGGGAAGTTGATTGCAACTGTGCCGGGAGCCGGGGGGGGGGGGTGTGTGCTCCCGGGCTGTGGAGCACAAGCCGGGGGGGGAGGGGTGTGCTCCCTTGGCTGTGCCAAGGCCCTGAGGCAGGACTGTGCCTGGCTGGGACAGATGAGAGGAGACAGGTCCTGTAAGGCCATGTGGGCGTGGATCCCCAGCGAGGTGGGGGCCAGGGCAGGCTGCATGCAGAGGGTGGACCCTGTGGCAGGTGCTCGGCTGTGCCCTCTGTTGGCTGCTGTGCAGAGGGCCTGACCTGTGAGGGGCCAGGCATGGGAAGTGGTGGGGTAAGCTGAGCTGGCCCTGGTGGGGTGAGAGTCAGAGGAAGGATGGGAAGGGGGGCGTCGCAGGCTGGGAGGGGTGCAGAGCCCGCAGAGAAGGGAAGGGACGGAGCCCCCTGACTCACACGGCCCCGCTGGACCCAGCATGCAGAAGGAATGGGCCAGGGGCCACAAAGGTCCTGGGGGGCTGCAGAGGGTCCCTCTGCACTGCCCACCAGGTGCTCAAATCCAAACCCCTCGGTCAGGGGCAGGTCCTGGGGCCCAGCTCCGCACCCACTGACCAGGAGTCCTGCAGGGCATGCTGGGGCTGTGCATAAGCCACACCCCTTCCCTTTCCTTTAGCATCCTGCAGCCCACCCCCCTCCCCCATTCAGGCACCCCCTCCTCTGGGAAGCTGCCCCTCCACACCCCAGGATGGCCCCCCTGCAGCC